CATGGCCTGTCTAGACTGTTGACTGACATGGCCTGTCTAGACTGTTGACTGACATGGCCTGTCTAGACTGTTGACTGACATGACCTGCCTAGACTGTTGACTGACATGGCCTGTCTAGACTGTTCACTGATAGTTGTAATATTTCCAATACTTTATACTGCCTTACCGTAAGAACGGTTCTACAACGATTGTCTTTAACATTGGTCTGATCACAGGCGAATTCTGGGTAGCCAGATAAAGAATATGACAGTCGATAGTGTTCAACCGATTTGTACTGAAAGGAAGGAGGCTTCCATGACACGTCTATCGAATATGTATTGTTCTCTCTGTTCTCTACAGCTTCTCCCTCTTGACTAAGGGAGTTCACTTTCAACTGATTTTCCATTGGATCTGAAAATACATTACACTAGGGTTAGTCAATCTAATAGCAACTGGTACAATGAGAGTCATTGGCAACACACATACCGGGTGACCTTATGACCTTATGAAGGTAATTCCCTCAATACATTACACGAGGGTCAATCAATCTAATAGCAACTGGTACAATGAGAGTTATTGCCAACACTTACCAGGTGACCTTATGACCTTAGTAAAGGCAACTCCATCGATACATTACGCGAGGGTCAATCAATTTAATAGCAACTGGTACAATGAGAGTTATTGCCAACACTTACCAGGTGACCTTATGACCTTAGTAATGGTAAYTCCATCTATCCATTTTTCGTTATACATCGGTTTGACCTGACAAGAGGTGAATTCAAGAATCTTTAGTTTCTCCTTACCAATTATCCACAGCCTATTAACCACACACTATGGAATATGTAATAGATGTATGGTAGTACCTCAAAGGTTCGAGATTCTGAATGCTGCACTCCTACGATAACAACAAATCTGTCATTCTGAAACAGAAGTAGGGTGTAGTGTTAAGTTTGTCAGGTTTGACGGGCTCGTAATGAATTGCGAAAAGAGTAATGGAGATACTTTGCCTGCAAAGACTCGCTAAACTTGTAGAAAAGGCCTTAAGTTGAAGAAAAAACGAGGCCAGAAATGGCCTAATGTTGCTAGCACAGTAAGTTAAATTCTTACTACAGGATCAGCCAGGAAAAGGGACGATTTGTAAAAGACATGATGGCATGATACCTGTGGCAGAAGATCCCGCCAACAGAGAAAACTTGAAAAGGCCTCAGTCTTAAATAATGCTTCTTGAGAAATCTTTCCAAGGGATCACTAGATAAAGATCAGAATACTAAAGACTTGTCCTTCTTGAAGGGCATTACACCTTACCGTTATGTTACTCCGAGTAACATTCCCATCCGTGACGTTGTAAGCATAACCTCGAAATGTCCCATAAGTGAATAAATGCCTTTTCCATGAGATATTGTAAGAATAATGACCACTGCTGGAGAAACTTTGTGATACGTTAACATCTTGAACAACAAGTTCCTTCGTTGGCAGGGCTACAAAAAAGTCAGAAAATTATGAAGCAAATATGGGAGTGAATGTAGCAACAGAGCAGATTGGATATGATCTTCAAAATATGTGGCAACCATTACAACCATGGCAACCGTGACCTCGACGGTGCCATATTTGAGGAACGTTGTCAAATGACCGCAACTGTGTCTGGTGAGCAAATCAGTCGTGTTTCTAATTTTAACGTAGTTTAGTTACCTTGAGTTTGAAAGAAAAGCTCACTAGATACAGGCCTAACTTTGTATCCTTCTGGAAACTTGGGTTGGACCTGAAAAAACATACAATGAGAGGTTAGTCAGTAAGTGAAGTAAAGGGTTAAATAGGCCAAACACAACCAACCAACCAACCAACCAACCTGTCAATCAACCCACCCACTCACCCACCCACCAACAACCC